TCCCCGCAGGTACCATCACCAGCCTAGCTCCAAAATTGACTTGCAAAGCTGAGCCAAGGGCAACAGGAAAGTCCACGAGAGTGCATGGGTGGTTCCATAGTGCCACAGGGTGAGGTGAGGGGGCCACAGGCGTAGTTATGCCCTCGTTTCTCGACTGCTGAATAATGAGATGTTTTTGCCTTTTTGGCAAAGACGTCCAACTTCCTGGGCTGTGTCAGGAATTCCTGAGCTTCTCCCTCCTCCTCTGGCTGCGCCTCCCGGCCCTGGTCCTGGGCCATACCCTCTGGCCCTCAGCTTCCTCTCCTGGGGCCAGGCAATTCCTCTATGTTCATTTCCCAGGTGAGAACATCAAGGCAGGAGCTGACCTTGGACTGATGGTTGAAAGCAGCTGCTGGTTGGGATTTCAGAGAACTGAGACCTTCGCTGGGCACAGGGGAGGGGGATGGCAAAGAAAGGAGGGGGCAGCCTGGTCAGCGGGGCTTGCCCAGAGCTCAGTTTCTGGGTCACTGGTCCTGGGGAATTCCCCAGTGCCCGGAGAGCTGCTTACCTGGTGACTAACTGCTGCTGGCTGACCACACAGGGTGCCCGGCCGTCAGGCACACCGCTGCTGCCACGCTGCCCTCTCCCCCGAGGGCCCTGGGGTTTGGGAAATAGACAGACAGACACACGGGGACTGGCCCCCGCCCCCACACCCCCTGGGGCTCCACAGGGGGCGGCTGGTGATTCAAGCCCCTCTGAGCTGAGCTATGTCTCCTTCCTTCTCAGATGGGGCCTGGGGGGTGAATCAGCTCCTGGGGGCGGTGAGGTCGGGTCAGCCACTGTCCTCAGCTTAGGCCTGTGGTGGGGCGGGGGGGTGGTGGATCAGGGGCCAGGACGGGACATGGGGAGATAGTGAGCATATTGTTGTGTCAGCCCCCCACACAACCCATCTGATGTTCTGAGGATCCTCTGGAGCATTCCTCGCCTGCATTATCCACCGGAGGAGGGCGGACAGGTCCCTCTCCTGCCCAGCTTTCCCCCCTCAGCCGGGGAGCATACCCAGGTTTTCTCATCTGTTAAATGGGAACAGGAACCTCTGTTTCACAGGGAGGCGGCGAGGGCCAGTGCTGATTTGTAGAGGGCTTGCTGGGTGCCCGGAGCTGCACTGAGCTCTGAGCCTCCACAGCAAATCCATGTTGTAGATGCCATAATTACCATTTCGCAGATAAAGAAACTGAGACCAGGAGGTGGTCACTTCCCTAAAGTCACCCAGCTCATAACTGGCAGAGCCAAACTTCCAACATAGCTCTGACCGAGGCCAAAGTCCAAGCTTCAAACCACCAGATTCCACACCTTCTCTCCACTGCAGATTTGGCACAGACAGCTTCTGGAAATGATAAAATGCTTTTACAAAATACTTAGCATGTCCTGGCCAGGCAGTTCAGTTGGTTAAAGTGTCATCCCGATACACCAAGGCTGTGGGTTTGATCCCCGGTCAGAGCATGTACAAGAATCAACCAATGTATGCACAAACAGGCGGAATAACAAATCTCTCTCTCCCCTCTGCCCTCACCCCCCTCCCTTCCTTCTCTCTCTAAAATCAATTAAAAAAAAAAAAAACACCAACTTAGCATCTCCTCTGGGATAACCCTGAGGCAGGTGCCATCAAGAATATGAATGAGTATCAGACCCCATCCAGGTCCTCAAAGACTGGAGAATAAGAGATGTCCCCACCCAAAAGCACGGTGCGCAGCACCAGGCAGGCTCAGCCCATCCGGGCCATGGGAAGCAGCCTGGAGGAGGCGGCCTCAGTGCCCCATGTAGCGTGAGGTGCTGCTGGCACCGTTGTGACCTGCAGGCCACAGGCCTGGGCTCCAGATCCCGCTCTGCTGTTCGTTAGCTCCCTCCATGGCCCTGGGCAAGTGTGTCACCTCTCCGAGCCTCAGTCTCCACACCTGAAAAATAAAATATCTGTGACATTCTGGGAGAGGCTTGTGGGGGGGTGGGGGGTGAGAATCAGCAGAAAAGGAGGGACTGGGTGGTTCATGCAGCGAAGTGTGTATGAGGAAGAGCTTCGGGGGTCCCTGGGAAGGCCCCAGGCTGGCACGGGGCTCGCTTTCTGGAGAGGAGCGCTGAGCAGGTGGATGGCACAGCCGCCCGGGGCCTTGGTTCGGCAGCCCCCTGCCCAGGCTGGGGGGGCCCCGCGTGGGCCCCCACTGTCCCCCTCGCCCTGAGGCCTGTCAAATCCCCAGCAGGCCCAATGTGCAGGAGCGGGACAGGCTGCGGATGAGGTCACAGCTGGAAGGGGCCGGGCTGGGGCTGCCACTCCAGGGTGGGGCCTGGGGTCACAACCCTGGGAGCAGGCAGCCAAGAAGGGAGGATGCCTTCTGTGAGGAAGCTGGGGAAAACACACACACACAGCAGTGTAGGGAGGGAGGGAAGAAAACAAACTCCAGGAGACCAAAGCTGGCCTGGAGCGCGGCCTGGGCTGCCGATTCCTGGGGACCGACGCCACGTTGCAGGCGGCTCACGGCTGGCGGCTCCGGGACCCTGCCCGGCCTTGCTCCCAGAGGCCCAGCGAGGGTGGTGCCTGGACATGGACAGGAGAGGGAGGCCGGGCCTGGGGTGCCGAGGGGCCCACGGCACTTGGGGAGCACGGACCAAGTCAGGTACCATGAGAGGGGAAACTGAGGCATGGGAGGGGGCCAGTCAGGACAGGAGTTTAGTGTGTCCTAAACTCTGCCCCCCACTTCCTGTTTCCTGTGGGGTGGGGCTGAGGTTTTACAGCGACTGGGGGTGATTATAGTGCTGATGCGGGGGGCAGGGGACAGAGGGCGGTGTAAGGCCCTAGAAGTCCACGTGGATGGATGCAGGAGAGAGGCTGGGCCTGGGGGGGGGGGGGGACAGCGTGGCAGGGGACTCAGGACATCTAGTGAGAGACTTGGGCAGGACACAAAGGGAGCCCTAGATGGGGCACAGTGGGACCATGGTCAAATGAATTTGGGGTCCATTTCAAAAGAGCCAGACTGAGTCTGAGAGATGTGAGGATGGGACTGGAGGCTGACGCAGACAGAATTCACGTGCTCTGAGTGTTCTGGCTTTTATGCCAGAGAGGCTGGGGGGTAGGGGGGCCTGTGAGAAGAGGGAGATGAGCTGGGATACCTTGGGTCGTGGGGTTGCCTGAGCCAGGCTGGGGCGGGCAGGTGTCCCGGGTGTGTGTGCTGACCACAGAGCAGGTGTACGGGAAGGACGAGTGCCAGGTGGGGCCTTCCACGGCCTCCCTGAGGAAGACACAAGATGAAGGGCACAGGGAAAAAGAAGGAGAGCTGGCCTGGGCTCTGCCGGCCTCCTCCCTGCTGGGAAGTGCCAGGCGGGATTCTCAGTTTTTTCATCCCACACCCAGGTCCCCAGAACACAGGGGAAGCACCTGGATGGGCTGGGGGTGTGGCGGGGGGCGGGAGAGGGGGACAGCGGCAGGCGCTAGGGCCCATCTGGCATCAGGAGGGAGGAACCCCTGGCTGGGCAGGTCTGGGGTGTGGCAAGAAGCAGGAGTGGGGGGCATCCATGGAGGGTGGGAGAGAGGTGGGGAGGAACATTAGGGGACAGGGAAAGGCTGCGGGGCTCCCTGGCCTCGAAAGCCAGATCTCATGCCCTGTGTTCTGGTCAGGCTCAGGTGGCAGGGCTGCAGTGGGGTCCTCAGAGAAGTGAGACATCTCCTGTGATAGGGAGTGCTCTCGGCAACTTGTGGGACAGTGTGGCCCCGATGTCTGTTCTCTGCCCAGCACTCCCCCTCCTTGTTTTTTAAAAATGCTTTTTACAGGGGAGGAGTCCCTGTGCTCATTTCGCCCTGGTCCCCACCATTGTTTCCCTCACTCGTTTGGAACCTGCCTGACCACTGTAGAATCTGTGACCCTGCCTTAGAGAGTCTGGAAGCACTTTTTGGGGCCACTGTCATTCTCCGAGGCTCCCAAGGGGCTTCCAAGGCAGGTCTGGGAGGGGCAAACTGCTTCTGCCTTCCCCAGCCATCCCTGGGCGTCCTGAGGAGGGAACCCAGGTCCCATGTGCTGAGTCCCTCCGGGCCTCTGCTTCAGGTGTCCTTCCAGAGTGGAAATGCTGGCCTGCTCTCCCCTGGAGGGGGAGGAGGGGTTGCAAAGAGTTTAGGTAAACTCCACGCACAAAACACCTTCCCAGAAGCTCCTCCCCAGGCTGTCCCCAGATAACCCAGTTACAGCAGCCTCCCACCTTCTGTCTTCTCAGCCTCCTCCCCAGCCTCCCAGGTACCTGTGGTCATAGCGCAGGCTGCCAATAACAGTCAGGGGGCCTGGCCTGAGGGACCCTGGGCACTGTCCCCTCTGCAGCCCTACTTTGCCCAGTGGCAACGGGCAGGTTGAATGAGGCTACCTATGAGGTGGCTTCCAGGGCCCATGTTCAGTTCTGCTTTATTACTGTCTAAAGTCCAGGCTGGGTCCCAGTCCCAATTCCAGGAACCTCAGCCAAGCCCCAGCCTGCCTCCTGCCCACTGTCCCCTAAAACCCCCAGTCAAGGGGCCACAGGTGCCAGCCTCCATCAGCTTGGTTAGTCTCAAGCCACCTCCCTAAACCCAGGTGAGTCAAGGCTGTCTGGGGCACCCACTACCCGGGGACCCTGATGACTCGGCCTGGGGACCCTCCTCCCCCTCCTCATCTTCAGAGCAAGCCACTCAGGAAAACCACAGGGTGTTTTGTCGAAGAGTTCATTATAATTTTATCAATCAAATTCTTAGAAGAGGGAAAAAGTCTGCTCTCCCCACCCTCCTCCCTCACTCCCCCCCCCTTCACTCTCACTTTCTTCCATTCATAATTTCCTATGATGCACCTCTAACAACTTCCTGGAGTGGGGATCCCTGCTAAATATAGCCGTTTCTCTGTCTTACAACACAGGCTCCAGTATATAAATCAGGCAAATTCCCCATTTGAGCATGAACCTCTGAAAACTGCCGGCATCTAAGGTCTCCTCCAAGGCCCTCGGGAGTCCAGCCCATAATGAAGGTCTTGGCAGCAGGTAAATCCACCCGCCCCGCGCTGGCTTCCGCGCCCCGCTGCGAGTGCAGCGGCAACTCGGGGCACTTGGCGATCGCGAAACGGACACCTACCCGCCGCAGACACACGGACACTTGGGGCGCCCGCACAGCCGGCCCCGCCGCTGGAGGCGCTGGGCGACGGCCGGGGGCGAGCGCAGGCACATGGTTCCAGCACCGTGCGCCTTGTTTGCTCGCCCGCCCGCCCAGTGGCCCACAGGTTGGCGGGCCAGCGAGAGGGCGCCGCAGCCTTCCTCCACCTCCAACTCCTCCTCCTCCTCCTCAATCCTGCCACTCGCCCGTGCTGCACTTCCCGATCTGCTGTCTCCTGGATTCATCCTCCCTCTTCTCTTTCTTTCTGTCTTTCCGCTTTCTCTTTTCCAACTGCGTCCCGGCTGCTCCCTGGGAGGGGCGCCGGCCGCCCGAGCAGCTTGCAAACTCTGGCTGGGACGGGAGCAGGTGCCGCCTCCATCTGCTAGTACCTGAAAAGCGGCGGTCTGTGCTAGGTGAGCTGGGGGCACTGTCCGGGGGGCGGGCAGCCATCCTAGGGACTCAGCATTGCCTGGGGATGCAGGGCGGAACAGGGGAACCAGAGAAGTGAACTCGAGGCTGCCGCTGTCCCAGCAGGGGGATCGGAGCGGGAAGCTCCTGCACCTCCCCTCTCCCCAGCCTCCCGGGCCTGCTGACTCCAGCCCCTGCTGCGGAGCCACCTGGGAAGACCCCTCTGAGGGGGCCTGAGGGTGAAGAGGGGAAAGTGGGCGTCCTGGGGGAGGGGCGCTCCAGGACAGGCCCCGACAGCTCCGCGCTCTCCTGTCACCTTTCACTTTCTTTCCTCCCCGGCCCACCTGTCTGCCTGCGACCTTTTCCCTTTTCTGGTTGCACCATTTCTTCTTCCTCCCCAAGGCTCTGGGGGCCCGTGGGACCCTTGGATTCCCCTTGTCCTAACGCAGGGCCTGTGGCAGGGAGTAGCAGACGAGAGGGGAGGGCGTGGAGATAGGGAGCCGGACAGAAAAGTTTTGAAGGATGATTTGGGGATGGGTGAGGGAGCAGAGCCACAGACTTGGATGAAGTTGAGGGTCCTAGTCGGGGAGTGACCGCATTTGGAGAAGGACAGAGATAGAAGAGATTTGGGGGGGGGGGGACAGAATTAGAGAACAAATGGCCCAGGGAGCCAGAATCATGTGACAGGTCTGGGAGGGATAAGTGGGTCAGCTGAGGACCTATGAAACAATGCTTAGGAATCTGGACCATCCTGGGAGATGGGAAGATAGGGGCCTTTCCTTTTTTTAGACCCTCCTGGCGCTGGGCACTGTGCCTTCCTGCCAGAGGGCCAGGAGGCCTCAGGGCCTTTCACATTCCTGAGGACAAGGGCTGGACAGTTGGTGTCATTCTGGACCCAGCTTCTAAGTGGTGAGAACAACTCACGTCCTTCCCCTCTGCTCCTTTTCTCAGGGAAGAGCAGGGAGAGATAAGAAGGTGGAGAGAGTTAGAGACCTGGAGAGAGGGAGACGGAGAAACAGATGCAGTGGCCTGGTGAAGACTAGTGTTGGCCAGGCCAGAAAAAGATAAAACTGGAGGCTGAGAGGGCCACTGGGGTTCCAGGGGAGATGAGGACCATCCTCTGCCTTGAGCCCCTTGCCCTCCCCCCACCTCCCTGCTCATGGCTTCTTGCCTGTTCCCAGGAGTCGTGCCCCTGCTGCTGGTTCTGCACTGGAAACACGGGGCGGGGAGCCCCCTTCCCATCACCCCTGTCAATGCCACCTGTGTCACACGTCACCCATGTCACAACAATGTCATGAACCAGATCAGGAACCAACTGGCGCAGCTCAACAGCAGTGCCAACGCCCTCTTCATTCTCTATGTAAGTCGCCTCCTGGGCACCAAGGAAGAAGGGAGGTGGAGGGAGGGGTGTTTGCCGTGCAGACCTGGGCTGGCAGGGCTGGTCAGGGAAGGGATTCTTGTACCTGGAAGGTGAGAACGGGGAGGGGACTTGGTTCATCCACACCAGACTCCCACAGCTCCCGCCCGAGCCCAGGCTCAGGGGCTGGAAGTCCCTTTCCCAGGGTGCCCAGTGAGGTAGCGCAGAGTTAGGGGGAGATGTAGAGCCGGAGGCCGATGAGAGGCAAAGGAGGAGAAGGTGGTGAGGTGGATGGGGAGGTGCGGCTGGGAGAGACAGTAGCCGTGCATGTCTGGGGGTGGGAGGGCAAGCGTGTGGTACACCTGTTCTAGGAGAGACATGGCCTTTTCCTTTCTGCCCCTACACGGTCCTGATGGGGATGATGATGATGACGATGAACTTTTCATGGCATAGGCCTTGGTTCTTTACCAAGCGCATTCATGCCCATGGTCACTCTGGCTCTCATGACAATCCTGAGATGCCTACAGGACAAGTGGCTGTGTCCCTGTGCTACAGGTGGGGAACTGAGATCTGAGAGCTTGCCCAGAGGATTGGTGCCAGGGCTGGAACACCTGTCCCTGACTCTCTTGTCACCTCCCCTCTGCCCCTCTGCTCCTTAGTACACGGCCCAGGGGGAGCCGTTCCCCAACAACTTGGACAAGCTGTGTGGCCCCAACGTGACAGACTTCCCGCCCTTCCACACCAATGGCACGGAGAAGGCCCGGCTGGTGGAGCTGTACCGCATCATCGCCTACCTTGGCGCCTCCCTGGGCAACATCACACGGGATCAGAAGATCCTCAATCCCAATGCCGTCAGCCTCCACAGCAAGCTGAACGCCACTACGGACAGCATGCGGGGCCTCCTCAGCAACATACTTTGCCGCCTGTGCAGCAAGTACCACGTGGCCCATGTGGAGGTGGCCTATGGCCCTGACACCTCGGGCAAGGATGTCTTCCAGAAGAAGAAGCTGGGTTGTCAGCTCCTGGGGAAGTATAAGCAGGTCATTGCTGTGCTGGCCCAGGCCTTCTAGACAAGACGTCTGAATTGCGCAGTGACCCAGATCTTAGACTCAGGTGGCTCTCAAACTGTGGGCAGGGCCCAAAGCATTGCCAAACCCAAGTGCAGGCTGCTGGCAGACCCTGAGGGGTTCCTGGCCGGTCCACTCCCCTCCAGCGAGGACTCTGATGAAACCAGGCAGAGTCAAAACTCCCATAGGCAGCGCCTATGTACAGTGCCACCTGGAAGAAGGCGCCGTCCTCTGGGAGACTGCAGCCAGGCACCCGGCTGTGAGGCTGGTGAGGGGAGCGTGGGCTGGACTTCTGCTCCCACTTGTCCCCTCGGCCACGGGCTTTGAGACCAAACCAAACAAGTTATCTCTGGTGATCCTGACCACAGGGCAGAGAGCAGGGGTCAGGGGCATTGCCTGGCCTCACAGAATGACCACCATCAGTGCCTTTGCTGCCTCTTCGGTAGGCTTTGGGAGGTTTGGTTGGGGCGGGTATCCGGAAGGATTCCTTGGCCTCTGTTAGTGTGGTGAGTGGAAGTTAGAGAAGGGAACTCTGATTGGAGATGCTGCCTTCCCTTGAGCATAATTGGAGAGCTCAGGCCTAGCAGCTGTTAGGCAGAAGGTTCCAGAAGGAGGTGATTGGCATTCAGCCTCCTGGGGAGGCAGAGAAGCCACCTGTAGGCCTGGGAAGGAAGGCACTGAAAGGAAGAGAGGCCCTGAAAGCCTTGATGGGCTCTCCTTCCTCTTCCCCGCAGTCTTTCCTGCAGCCCAGGATGGCCGGGGTCTGGTGGCTGGACCCGGAGGTAGGGAATGTGGAGGCGGGCAGGTGGCAAAGTCAGGTTAGGAGGTTCTGAGAGGACCCAGGTTCTTCCTTCTGGGCGGGGGTCTGTAAGGGAGGGGGTGGATAGGGTACTTCAGCGTGGCAGCTCACACCCGAGGCCTATGGAGGCCCCGTGAGGTCACACAAAGGTACTTGAGGGGGACAGAGGCCATCTCTGGTCCCCAGAGCAAGGGGACAGCAGAACTTGAGGTCAGGGTCTCAGGGAAGCCTGAGATCCAAGAGTGCTGTGTGTCTGACCCAGCACAATTGTCTATTTATTATGATGCCCTATTTATATTAACTTATTGGTGCTTTAAATGCAAAGTTAGTTTCCTTTTCCCTGTTTCCTACCCAATAGAAATAATATGATGGCTCCTTCCTTAGGAGCCAAGGCCAGGGCCAGGCCTCAGCAGGCCTCGGTCTGGAAGATGTTACAAGTAGGATAAGCCTTACGGGTGAAGGTCAGAGAAGGGTCAGAATCTGAGAGAACTGGTCAGCCTGGGTGGGAAAGCAGGGGACCCAGCTCCATCCCTCCACCCCAGCTGTGACTTGCTTTAAGGATAGCAGGGTCCTGCCTGCAAGGCAGGCTGGGGCGCTTTGTGGAGTGGCTGGAGGTGGGGGCTTTTCCCAGGGCCACCATGCCGCTTGGCTCCCGGAGGTCACGCAACACTGTGTTCTCTGGGTGCCCCCTGGGATTGTGGTGAGAGGGACAGTGGGCAAGGAAGCCCTGGTGGCCTGCCCTGCTGCTGTTTCCTTGTCTCCACGCTGCCTTTCTCTAGGCTAGCAGTCGAGGGGACCTGGAACCGTCCTGACCCAGCACCCAGCACGCTCACACACAGCAGGGAAGCTCCTTCTCTGGTGGCCCGAACACCCACAGAGGGAGAGAGAGCCTGGCTGGACCTCAGAAAGCTGGGGCAGTGCAGGGAGGAGCCCCCTGCTCCAGAGAGGACAGGGAGGCCCTGGGACACGGACCAGGAAGCTGTGGTCCCTCCTGCCCCACCTCCCCCCTCTCCCCCACCCATGTCTGGGCTCCCAGGCAGGGAACCTGATCTTTTCCTTTGTGCTGGGGCCAGGCTAGTGGAGAAACGCCCTCCAGTCTGGGAACAGGGGAGGAGGGCTCGGAGCTGGGGCAGCTGCTAAGAGCAGCGTCTGGCTTCCTCTCAAACCCTGAGCAGGCCGGGCGGCTGTCCGAGCAGTTCAACCAATGCAATTATGGTACTTTGCACTCACTTTGCACCTTTCTCTGTTTTCTCTGAGTACTTTACTCACACCCACCCAGAGGCAGGTGAGCAGGCCTCAGGCAGGCCCTGAGGCCTGGGGTGGGGGTAGGGGATGGAGGTGTGAGTTGTCTGTCCCACTGGCAAGACTGAGGTGTAAGGGGGGTGGTGGAGAAGACCATGGCAGCCGTGTGCTTTCCGATACTGCCTAACTGTGTGGGTCGGCATCGCAGCCTGCTGCCTGCCCCCACCTCTCTGCTCCTTCGGTGAATGCGGTTCCGAAGGCTCAGGGCAGGCTGGGTCTCCCATCGTCTCGTCGCCCCGTGGATGTGCCAGGCTGACCTGGGCAGCCTCTGAGGCTCAGTGAGCAAGGGAACCTCCTCTCCTGGGCCCAGAGCCGCCCCATCTCCCCACGCTCTGCCTTTGCAGGGCAGGAAGCTGTCCCTTCCCTCATTTTTCATATGCTCGTGTTGACCCGAACTTGCATCCTGGGTCACTGGCCGGGCCCAGGAGGAGGAAGAGGCCGTCAGCCGAGGAGTGTGTAGCACAGTCATTTTGCAGTTTATTGAGAGAGGAATATTGGGGACCTTATTTATTTTTAAAAAACTTTAAACAAGAAAGCACCGCTGATTTATATGTCTCTCCTCCTTATTGTTGTCCTCCTCCCCCTTCTTGCCCCCTCCTTGGGGACAGTCTCCCTGACGGAAGCAATCCAGCTCTGCCTGGATAGCCCTCCAGAATAGACGCAGCGTGTGGGGTTGGGGCCTGGAATCCAGTGAGAAGTTCATTTCCCTTTCAGATGGTACAGACTTTTTTACCTTTGGATCACCCCACCTCCCCCCGCCCCCTCCTCCCACCCTCCACCGCCAAATCCCAGTACCTGGGCGTCTCTCCCACCTGCACTCTTAGCTCTGTGCTCCATGAGTCCTTCTGTATTTCCCTCCTTCCTCTCTACTGGAAAGGACTTGGCCTTGGGGACAAATTCCTCTTTGATGAATGTACCCTGTGGGAATGTTTCATACTGACAGAATTATTTTTATTTATTCAATGTCATATTTAAAATATTTATTTTTTTATACTGAAGGAATCCTTTTTTTTTTTTTTTAAAGAAAAAAGAGAAATTAATAAAGAATCTGCTCTTGGCAAGCTCTCCAGAGTGTACTGATGTGGGGAAGTGGGGCTGGGGAGCGGGAAGGTCTCTGTCCTGGGCACCCAATCGAGGGGGCTCTGCTTGGCAAAGGGCAGGGAGTGGGGAGAGGGGGACTCTCTACCTAGTAAGGGCACCATCACGGGTAAGAGCAGGGATGAGCTGCCCAAAACGTGGGAAGGGATATTCGTTGATGTCAGCTCCTTCACTCTCAGCCTCTCACCTCTCACTATAGTCCCATGAGTCCCTGGGAGTCACCATCCTCATTAAACAGAGGGGGAAAGTGAGGCTCAGAGAGATGAAACCACTTGCTCAGGCCACACTGGCAAGGTGCTTGGGACCACCCCTCCAGCTCCAAATCTCATGATCTCCACCCTACGTGTAGCCTCAGAGACCTGGAAGGAACCAGCGGCTGAGGCCTCTGTCCTGAAGGAATGGACCATTATCATTCACAGGGAAATGAAGTGAGCGGGCGTGAATGACTCTGGAACAGGAAGTTCAAGCTTCCTGTCCGGAACCACGCAGGATGCTGGGGCCAGAACCGGGGCTTTCTCGTCGGGTTCTTCTGGGCCTGAGCAGCTCTCCACAGTGGACACTGCCCTCTTCCTCCTGTCTCACATCTGGGCACCACTGCAATCTTCTTCCCAGCCTCCAGGGATACCTTCCTTGGGGAACAAGAGTGGTCGAAAGGGGGCTCTGGAGCAGCCCCAGATCTCTTCTCTGTACTTTGCTCTGAGGGGTTTGGTTTGTGTCTGGGCTCCCCCAGCCAAGATTCATTTGGGGACCCAGGCAGTTTTTCTGTTAGTCACCTACTTGTTTGTTCATGAATGTTTCTAAGTGTCAGGTGCTGTGTTGGGTTCCAAAGGTGAATAGGATACAGTCCATGCCTCCTGGAAGCTCCCAGGCCAGTGGGGACAATGAACGAGCACATCCGGGAGGATGTGAGCAATGGAAGACCCACAGAAAGGTGCCAAGGCCACGGCGGAGAGCTTGCTGTCAGGGTCAGCAGGGCACTCAGGCCAGGGGTCTCGCTGCTTTTTGTGCAATGAAGGAGCTTGACCTGCACTGGGCAACCTTAGCCTCACCTGGGAGCTGATCAGGAACTCAAAATCCTGTCTTCCCCTTGCCCCATCCCCCCCTCCATCCCCAGACCTGCTGAGTTAGAATCTGCCTTTTAACAAGATCCCAGGGAACTCGTGTGCAAGTTAATGTCTGAGAACGGCCACCCTGCACGTCTTCCATCTCTCGCTCCTCCTGAGTTTATTGAGACGCCAAGTGCAAATCTCCAAGGGCAGTGCAGGCAGCCTCAGGGGCAGACAAGGCCCGTGGGCTCCGGGAGCCAGGTGCACTGCTGTTTCAGATGCTTCCTAGGCAGCTCCAGCGTCTGGGCCCCTCCCTGCAGGTTGAGTCCCACGCCAGGCCACACCTCGCCAGGGTTTTCCCCCTTCCCTTTTGTTCGTGGGAGACAAGGTTGAGGCTTTTCAAAAGAAAACTTTACTAGGAAACTAGAGGAAAACAAAACAAACACCAAAGCACAAAAATGAGGGAAGTGCAGGGATGTCAGATTCTAACCGCTCTCCCGTGGGGCTGGCTGGGCCACTGGGCCCTCAGGTTTTCCTTGCCTCCGTCTGGGAAGCTCTCGGTCCCCGAGGAAGGGGCAGGCCCTCTCTTCTCTGCCCTGCCCTGGCCAGAGAGGACAGAAGACTGTTACTTGGTTATCGGGTCACCCTCCCAATAGGAGGTAAAAACAATCACTTGGTGGGAGGAAGGGAGGCCCCCACCCCCCACGCCTTGAGACTTGGGTCCTCCTCTGGCTCTGCTACAGTGCAGTCCTGTGACC